TGTGTGTGTGTGATATGTATTTGCTAATCCCATGTGTGTGTGTGTGTGCGTGTGTGGGTGGGCGGGTCCCTTGTGTGTGTTGTGTGCATGTGTGGGTGGGCGGGTGAGAGTGTGTGTTCTGTATTTGTTAATCCCATGTGTGTGTGTGTGTCCGTGTGTGGGTGGGTGGGTGGGAGTGTGTTCTGTAATTGCTCACCCCATGTGTGTCTCTGTGTGTGTGTGTGTGTTGAATCCGCTAAAAGCCCAGCTGCACACAAACGGAGAGACTGTGATAGACTGTTCATCAGACTTTCACCGACTCGAGCGACATTGATGCCTGACAGTTTGTCCTGGACACATGTGACTGGTAGATAAGAAATCACAACCACCATGCCCAAAGTGAGCAACACCCTTAAACCACCACTACCTTTCTCACTGTTGGGAAAAACCGGAACGTACATCACACTGCATTTTTCCGGCGGCCTAGACGAGGCTCGGCAAAAAGGAAATGCTTGGGCGTTGTGGGCCCACTTGCAAAAGAAAAAAAAAGAAAAGGAAGCAACTGCACCGAGAGTAACGACATAGTGGAAGGCCGTGAAGTAAGTGTGCTCACGTAAATACCCACGGGAAAACTGCAACGTCCGCCAGATTCAGCTTTTGCTTTTTGTGTTTTTTTTCCTCCTTTTGTTTTCTTTTTGTTGCCCTGACAGCGATGCAGGGCACTATGCACAGGCACTGCCAACACACAGGGCCTCGCCGCACCACTGTCAAAAATGCGTTTTTCGACAGTTCCTCTTCGCCACACAGGCTGTCGAAGTCGGAGATGGAAAGAAGATTTGCAAGTTGTCAGAGAATGCTTCTCGACACCTCCTGTCGAAAGTTGTTGAATCCCCAGCCTGCTACTCCGATGCTTTCAACACTCCTCGCCTGCGCCGTCGACTTCGCTTCGAAATTTGGTGAGTGGGGGTACGGTCGGGATGGACTGATGCTTGTCGTACCCTCAGGCGCGTTCATCCTTTTCCATCTTGCTTTCACAAGTGCGTGCACTCTACAGTGCTGTGTGGCGAAGGGGGGGCAAACTGTTGAATGGAGGCTGTCGGATTTGTTCTTTTTTGGCCTTTCGACTGTGGTGTGGCGAGGCCCATAGTGACCGCGGCCATAATCTCACATGAAGTCCAGATTCTGTATGTAACAATTTTCACGGAAGGATCCTAGTTGCTGCTGCTTTTTTCGTAGTTCGTTTTTGAAAGCAAACTGCCGCATATACCGCGCCACTGTAACTCAGGGCATGCTCACACTACCATGTATTTTCGCAAATTTTATGGGTGCCAATTTGCGATTATGTGTCACGTCCTGGTCACACACCACACCCCTATCCACAGCAAAACAGAAACGACACTGTAGGAACCAGATCTCCAAATGTGAAAATACGAACCTTTCGGTCACACAGGGCAACACACAAAAAAATCGTTCCCCTTTTTCCTTTTTTCCCATTTCCAGAGTCCTCGTGCACATATTTTGCAAAATCGAATTCTACAACCCTGCACACTGCAAATTTTTGTTTGTGTTTAGAAACAGCAGATATAGAAATACGATTTTGCGGGGACCTCAGCAGGTCCCCACACAATACGTGACCCCGCGACTGTCCAGGATGCTGACCTATACACAGAATACGTGCCCCTTGTGACGCAAGAAAACACGTATAATTTGCAATTTTGGAAAACCAAGTGATAGTGTTAGTGCACCCTCAGTCAAGGATGGCATAATCTCACACGACCTCCATATTCCGTATCCATCGCATACGTAACGTTGTTTCTTTTTCTCTTTTTTTTTGAGAGTATGTGTAGTTCCGTGATCATCACGGTGCTACAATGCCCTCGCTGAGGGCATACTCTCACTGCTACCCGTCATTCCATATCCAACTGGCCAAAATGACTGTGTTCTTGCTTTTTTATTCTATGCTGGTCTTTTTATTTTTTGTGTAGTTCATTTCCTCGGAGTACCAGAAAAGAAAACGCAGTGGAACCCAGGCTCAGCAAAACTCGGTGCACAGTGAAACTTGGGGTTGGCAAAAACAGGATCGGAGGTAGTCGTGGATAAATTGCGAAAATTTGTTGTGACTCACACCCAAATGTTTGTCTCCATGGACTGAGGCGAAGTTTCGCAGGGCGGACGAGAAATGGAACAAAACCAACTTCTTGGGAATCGAGCGGACGATCAGTATAGCTGTATTTCGGCCAACTCTCAGTCCGATTACAGCTGCAATTACCATGGGTTCTATCCCCGGGAAGACAATCATAAGGAAGAATGATGACGAGCCGCGAACTCTCCTCACCTCCTACTGATAATTCTACTAAGTTTCGCATCGTGCAGAATAGCAGACCAATTTCCCTCTCCATAAGTCTTGACACCCTGCTCAAGTGCCGCAATCTGTTACACACACACACACACACACACACACACACACACACACACAGCCACCAATTCGTTTCCGGCGTTATATTCACCGCACACCAAAAAACATACATGTTTAGCAAATCCAAAACACAAACTAGATGACATGTTGCGGCTTCACTCGAAAAAACAACTAAGACGGGAACTGCCTGATGCAATCTCTCTCTCTCTTCTCTCTCTCTCTCTCCCCMCCCCCCGCGGCACCGATCTCTCTCCCGCCTATCTCTCTACATGACGCGATTTCGCGCCTTTAACAAATGGCAAACAAAACAAAGGAAGGAAATGAAAAAAAAAAACATTGCTCCACATGGCGGGAGGAGGCGGACGTAGGCCAAGGGGAGATTGACGATCCCAATGGCGGGAGGGAGGTGGGCAGAGGCTTATAGGATGTCGGCGCTGGCCGTGGGGAGGTGGGCGTGCACTATTTTTTTTTGTTTTTTTAAAGGCGGGCAGAACTTACCCTGTCCTTATAAATCATGTCCCTTGTCTTTTGTCTTCGTCAGCATCATCAACATCGTCTTCATCTGAAACCGTGGTTATGATGGGGTGCTCTCTCTCTCTCTCTCTCTCTCTCTCTCTCTCTCTCTCTCTCTCTCTCTTGTTGGTGTGTGTGTGAGTGTGCCCCCGTTTGTGTGTGTGTGTCCCCATGTTCGCTGTACACAACTCCACCAAAGGAAGCAGTTGCATGCCAGACTGTTTCCTCAAACTTTCACCGACTCATCAGGACGTTGAACCCCGACAAACTGCTGTCTCCCAGAGCGGAGGTGAGCGGAGGCGGAGGAGAGCGGAGGCGGAGGAGAAGTGACGGAGGCGGAGAGGAGATGGCGGGAGGAGGCAGACGGGAGGTGGGCGGAGGCCGATGGGAGATTGGCGATCCCAAGGTCGGGGGGGAGGTGGGCGGAGGCCGATGGGAGATTGACGATCCCAAAGGCGGGGGGGAGGTGGGCTGAGACGGACAGGAGGTTGGCGCTGGCATTGGGGAGGTGGGCGCGCACTGTTTTTTATTTTTTTTTGAAGGCGGGAAGAGGCATGGCGGATGTGCGGGCAGCGGAAAGGAGGCCAGAGTGGAAGTGAACGGAGGTGGAGGAGAAGTGGGCGGAGGCGGAGAGAAGATGGCGGGAGGCAGACGGGAGGTGGCGAAGGTGGAGAGGAGATGGCGGGAGATGGCGGGAGGAGGCAAACGGGAGGTGGTGGAGGCGGAGAGGTGATGGTGGCTGGGGATGACAGCGGGAGGTGGCGAAGGTGGAGAGGAGATGGTGGGAGGAGATGGCGGGAGGAGGCAAACGGGAGGTGGTGGAGGCGGAGAGGTGATGGCCGCTGAGGATGACAGGAAAAGGTGGACGGGAGGTGGCGGAGGCGGGGAGGAAAGCGAGAGAGGACATGGCAGGAGGAGGCAGACAGGACGTGGTGGAGGCAGAGAGGAGATGGCGGGAGGAGGCCGCCGGGAGGAGGCGGACGGGAGGTGGCGGCCCTGCAACGGGCCAATGGACAGCAGGTGCCGGGGCGATTCTTTTGCGACGGACCCTCTTTTTCAACGGGTGCGATGATCCAGGCCGCCCGCGGTCCTACTGGGCCGATGGCTCGAATCGTCCCAAGATGGCTCGGAAAGTCTTAAAGTCTTAAGATCAAGCGGAAATCCGGACCATCCCCCCCCCCAAAAAAAAAAAGAAATCAAGTAGTGCAACCTGCCCGCCYCCYCCCCCCCCCAAAAAAAAAAAAGAAATCAAAGAAGAAGAACGTTCTTACCTCCTCCGTCGTCCATAACCCTGCGCGGCCACTCACAGGCCGAGAAAACCTGCTTGGTGACAAAAGTGTCGGTTTCGGTCGTGATGCCTGCGCAATCACAGCAGCCAGCCGGACAAAAAAAAATAAAAATAAAAATCGAGAGGCACATCAGTCGGAAAATGTCTGGGTGCAGTGAACATTACCACCAGAATGCGGACTTAAAGACAATTACCAGAGATCTGCCTAATAGGTATCAAATGTGCAAAAATTGGGAGTGCATCTCCAGCTAAAAGTTGACCAGATACATTCAATTGTTTGCCTTTCCAATAAAATATTCAGAGTCCTAAACCGAGGCCCCCCTTTTTTCAATTTTTGAATTGCAAGCATTTGTATAAATTTCTTATTAGAAGAATGTAATCAGAAAAAAACTTCGTTACATTCATCATAAGTTAATGGTTCCCAAGAAAAAGCTGCTACAGTTCACTTTCCTTTTCTTTTGCTAATCTCGTTTTTACTCTGTTTTTTCCCTTCATTTTTTATTTATGCATGTCATCCTTGCGCAGGAGTCCTTTCTTTTTTTGTTTTTCTGTTCTCCTCGTTTTTTTCCGGCTTTTTCTCTCTGCCAGAAATGACTGGTCCTCTCTCCGGACCTGTACCAAGCCTCTCACTGAACCTCTAAGGAGGCCTCTCACCAAGCCTCTACTGAGGGCAAGGTCCCACTAGCAAAGAGCCTTGTATTCAGCACCTGAATCTGGATGTGTTTTATGCAGAGATGCAGAAAAGCATATCAATCGCGATATTTTGCACCACTTTACAAACACGTCCAGATTCAGGCGCTGAAGCACCAGTACATGGCCCCAGCCAAGTTGGGAGTGCGATTGAGGCTCTCCTAAATTTTTCGGCGGGTCGCGCACCGTCTATAAAATAAATCGACTCGAGGCTCTCCTAAATTTTTCGGCGGCTCGCGCACCGTCCATAAAATAAATCGATGGCAGGCGGCCTTCAAAAAGGGCCCGCGGCCGACGACTGGCATGTACTGGTGGTTTAAATCCAAACCTCATCGCTACTCAGACCTCGCCCCAGATGCAATGAAAATAAGGGCCTCTCTGCACTGCACAAGCTTGTAAATGTATCTGGAGCTACGAATCATCCCAATGCACTCCAACTGCTGGATCAGCCTGAATGCATCGCGTCCACGATCCTGTCCAGATACATGTAGAATGTTATGTCCTTGAGTTATGCCTTAAATCTGAATTACCTGGAGCGCGGTCAATTGGATGCTGATGCCATCTCACGATAGTCACCAATAATGATTACTTAAAACCAAAACACCAATAATGATTACTTAAAATAAACTTATACATAACAATACCAATAACAATCATAAGAATCAACCAGCTCAGATGTGGCTGTCCATGCTACAGGTGTACCAGCTGCCAATCGAGAGGTTATGGGTTCGAACCCATTCCCAAAGCCGACAGAATCACATCAAAAAAATAGCACATTAGAAAACCAAAAAAGAACAAGACATGCCACAAGCCTAGGCTACCAGAGAGGCCCGGGACAACTTGCCCGGCCGAGCCAAAAATAATCATCATTATTATTATTATTATTATTATTATTATTATTATTATTATTATTATTATAAATTTTATTTAAATTTGGTAAAGAGTTTAGATTTGACCCTGAGGCAAAAGTTGTTCAGTTTATTTTTCTGCAAAACATGATTTTTTTTCCGGGTTTTTTTTTTTTTTTTTGGCCCGGGACTTCCCCTAATCCTTGCACGGACGGGCCGGCAGGGAAAACAAGGTGGCCCGGGCGGCCAGGCTGGTAGCCTAGCCACAAACCAAATAAAACAAAGATGAAACAAAAAGGAAGTAAAAGGGATAAAGCAAAGTCAGAAAACATTTAAGAAAAAAAACAATGCCTACCTTTTGTTTCTGCTTTTGGTGAGTTGGCGGCTGTGCACCCCCTTCCTGATTAAACTCTGCCGCTGGGTTTTGTGGCTGAGGCGGCAGTGGCGGTGGAGGCGGCTGCTGCTGATGCTGGTGCTGATGCTGATGCGGCTGCTGAGGCGGAGGTGGCGGCGGCGGTGGCTCTTCTGGTTTGGCGAGTGCAAAACGTGCCAAATCTTGATGCGATTTCAAACACGCGCTGATCTCTGTCCATTCCCACGTGTGACCGTGGAGTTCCAAAGCTGGCGGCGGACATCCGTGCTCCATGATGTATGCCTTCAGATCAATCTGGAAGGCCTGCCATTCTTCCTTCAGGTCTGCAGCCGTACTGCACAGGCGAAAGAAACGTCAACCAAGGACCACCCACCCTAATATAACAACTAACCCCAGGAAATGAAAACGTAAAATAATAATAATAATGATAATTATTAAAAAATAAATATAGTAAATTTGTTGTCACTAAAAGAAAGAAAGAAAGAAAGAAGAAAGAAAGAAAGAAAGAAAGAAAGAAAAGAGGAAAGCACAGGAAATCGTTTTTAACAAAACCCAAGGATACGCGTCAGCACCACATTTTTCACCCTCAGATCCAAAGAGAGGTAGATATAAAGGAGGAGAGACAAGAGAGGGAGGGAGAGAGGAGAGAGAGAAAAGATGGAAGGAGAGAGGGAGGGAGATGACAAATGTGAAGGAGTCGTTAACAATCGGATGTGGGGAAGGGGCATCAATGAAAGATGACGAGGGTGGTGGACAAGGAAGCGGAGAAAAGGGAAGGGTTTAAAAAAAAAAAAAAAAAAAAAGTGGATAGGTGGAGTGGGAGGTGCAGGGAAGGAAGGAAAGTGGGGAAAAGAAAAACAAAACAGAGAGATGTACGTACACAGGTGTCTGGCATGGTTGCATACCCCGACGGTCGGCGGCCCTTGACTGGTCAGATGCCGACCATCTGACCGGTTGGCTGGTCAGCACCTACCGGCCGGGGGTCGTCGGCACCCTGCAAAATAAAAATTACAAAAAATTGGGTCCAGAACCCCTGATAACCCCACAAACACCCCTATACCCGCCCCCGATACCCCCATACACACCCCCAACAGCCCCAAACCGGCCTACCCTCATACCCTCCCCTATACCCCCTATATCCCCCTATAACCCCCCACACCACCCCTCATCCCCAAACGTTTCTCAGTGGGTTTGGGCTGTACTCAGCAAGCGCAGTACAGCCCTACTGGCCGGCTGCAATATGGTCGGCGGTCGGGGTAGACGGTCGGCGAGTATGCAACCCCACTTTCTGGCTTTTTAATTGAAGCATTTGGCCACAATTGCGTCTAGATGAACGTACGAACGGGAAGAACGGGAAGCGAAGGAAGGAAAGCAAAGTGGGGGGAAAAAATAAAAGGAAGGAGAAGATCCATGCATGGCGGTCTGTGGCTTTTTCTCCTTGGCTTTGAGAGACCGATCATCAAAAGCTCCGTAAAAGAAAAAGGAGAATTCATAATGGCTTTTAGTCCACTAGAATAGAATAGAACAATTCGCTATTCCCTTGATTTTTATCATATTGATTCCTATAACCGCAATTGCATACAGATGAACATACCAACCATGTCGAGGGTCACTCAGAAATAGCACTCACCGGGATTTCAGCACGCGACTGAGTCGAGGGTCACTCAGAATCGCATTCCATTTTCCCACTCCATGCACACGTGTGCCTTCAGCCAATGCCCCAAGCTGGATCCCGACAAGCATTCAACGAACCAAAGAATTTGCACAAGTCCGCAGAATGTTACATCAATTTCAAAAAAGAAAAAGGCTCGGCAATGCCGTTTCCACTGCCTTCGGCATTTTGCAACTTTTCTATATCGATTTTCGTGAGAAGGTTTATAGCCAAGACCTTTCCAAATACAATTGATAAAGAAAAATAAATAAAAAACAAAACAATTCGTACATACATACAGGTACAGAATTGACGATACAGATATACCGTCAAATGTATATATAGTCAAACAGAACTTCCCGGTAAACTGTAGGGGCAGAAAGGGAGAAGAAGACAACAAACGAGGGGCGGTGACAAACTGTTTCGGCGGAGTTTCACCGACTCAATAATATATATATCGTCAAATGTATATATCATAAAGTACATATCGTCAAACAGAACTGCCTGGTAAGCCGTCGGCAGAGAGGGAGGGAGAAGAGGACAACAAACGAGGGGCTGTGACAAACTGTTTCGTCGGAGTTTCACCGACCGACTCATCAGGAGGCTGAACCATCAAAAACAGTCTGCAGAATCCCCTAACTGATTACACTGTAAGTGATAATCCACCTATATGTGGTTAAGCAGCAACGACTGCCCAATAACTGATACCCCTCTGAGGTGGCGGGGACCACAAACCACTGCCCTCAAGGCACCTGTGACGAAAATCAAAGCAGACTATCAATCACCCGCACCAGATGGAAAACTCTACAGACTTGCCGGTTCACACCCCATCACAAGCCAGCAAAACACCCGCAAAACAAAGAAAGGTCTATCACAGTCAGAATATATATATATCGTCACATGAATATCAGAGCGCAAAGGCGAAAAAAACAGAAGAAAACAAGAAAACAAATAATCGTCAAACAGAGCTATATATATATATATATATCGTCACAAATAGAACTGCCCGGTAAACCGTAGGCAGAGAGAGAGAAGAGGACAACAAACGAGGGGCTGTGATACTCCTGATGAGTCGGTGAAACTCCGATGAAACAGTTTGTCACAGCCCCTCGTTTGTTGTCCTCATCTCCCTCTCTGCCTACGGTTTACGGGGAAGCTCTGTTTGACTACATATATTGATTGGTTGGTGGATCAATTGATTGGTGGATTGGTGGATTGGTTGATTGATTGGTTGATTGGTCGATCAATTAACTGATTCAGTGGATTGGTTGACTGATGGATTGATTGATTGGTTGGTTGATGGATTGATTGATTGGTTGGGTGATTCCTTTGATGTTCAGTGGTCAATTCCATGCGGTGATCATTGGTTAGCCGGATCGTTACACGGCTCGATTGATTGATTGATTGAGTTGATTGACTCCTTGAACGTTCACTGGTGCATTCCCCGCTGATTGCCTGCTTCAGTCGTTGGTGAACTTGCTCATTCCTACTATTCATTGATTGGTTGATCAGTTGGTTGATTGGTTGATTGGCTGATTGGTAGATTGATTGATTAGCTGATTGGTAGATTGATTGATTAGTTGATTGGTTGATTAATCGATAGATTGGTGGCAGTAAGACTTAAATTTCTCCCACTGGATTGATTGGTTGAAATGGTTGACTTCGCCCCCCCGAAAAGACCGCCCAGTCATTACAGCTGCTGCCGTATTCGGAGCAAACATTCAGTCTGCATACATACCCTGAGAACGACCGTGCGTTCTATTTGTTTGGGGGGGGGGGGGGGGCACAGACGGTACCATACACAAACACACACACAAACACCCCATACTGTGATGGACTTGCTGATTGGATTAATTAATAAACTTCCTCTCTTATTGATTTTTATTTTGTTAACTCTGATTTATCTGATTATTTACTATTTAATATTTATTATTTTTATTATTTTAAATCTAATGGGATTTATCCTGATTTATTTTCGTATACTTCCACAGATCCTTTCGATTGACTTGGACCTTTCCATTGATGGTCATTTTTTATCTCATAGTTGACTCGTTGGTTGATTGGTTCAACGACTCATTGATTGATCGATTGATCGACTGCTTCATTGATTGATTGACTGCTTGATTGCTTGGTTGACTGCTTGATTGATTGGTTGAGTGCTTCATTGATTGATTGACTGGTTGATTGACTGGTTGATTGATTGGTTGACTGGTTGATTGACTGCTTGATTGATTGGTTGACTGGTTGACTGACTGGTTGATTGACTGTTTGATTGATTGGTTGACTCATCATTGACTGCTTGATTGATTGGTTGACTGCTTCATTGATTGATTGACTGGTTGATTGACTGGTTGATTGACTGGTTGACTGGTTGATTGATTGGTTGACTCATCGATTGATTGACTGGTTGATTGACTGGTTGATTGACTGGTTGATTGATTGGTTGACTCATCGGTTGATTGACTGGTTGATTGACTGCTTGATTGATTAGTTGACTCATCGATTGATTGGCTGACTGCTTGATTGATTGGTTGACTGCTTGATTGATTGGTTGACTCATCGACTGATTGGTTGACTCATCCATTGATTGGTTGACTCATCAATATGCTCTAATCAGACTAATACAGTAATAAGGCATCAAAGACGATTTGAAAAACCGAAATGCATCGACGTGTGACAACGCATTAAGGACCAAAAAAAAAAAAAAATGCATAGAGGTGTCACAACGAGGAAAAATCCCAATAATCCGCTCGGTGTTTTTTCTTTTTTCAAAGGCCCAAACTCGCTCTTACTATACATGTGTAAATCGTCATACTATATAATACACGTAAATATTATATACATGTATGAATAGTCATAATATATTATATACGTAATAATCATGGAAATATCAACGCAGCACAGAAAGTAATTTAAAAAAAAATGGACAATTCTAACAGTATGAATAATGACACAACAAAAATAATGCCAGCGTCGGGATCCCATGAGACCACAAACGATTTCAATGAACTGACGCCTCTCCAAGGAGACGGGAGAAGAGGTCGGGACGCAGCCTGTCCCGACTCAACGGACAGGTGGACTCGTTTTCTCCCCTGAACTCGGGACGAATTGTGTTCGCGAGAAAAGACAAGGCACTCGACACAAATAATTATTCAATTTGATTAAACGACAATAAATAAAAGTAAGCTCTGTAAATCAATCAATCGGACGTTGTAGTCAACAGAAATTTCGAGCAAGCAATCAATCTATGCAACAAGTAATCAACCAGTCCAACCGTCATCCTACTCTACCAATCAATCAATCAATCAACCTAACAAGTAATCAATCAGTCGAACAGTCATCCTACCTAACAATCAATCAATCAACCGATCAACCAATCAACCGATCAACCAATCAACCGATCAACCAATCATCGGCAAAAACAGGGTCCGCATCGTATTTAGCTAAATCACTACTCAATTTTCAATCAATCAGTAAGTCCGTAAATCAAATGGCCACCGAGAACCAATCAACAAATAGATCGATCAATCGATCAACCAATCAATCAACAAGTCCGTAAATTAATCAATCAATCAAATGGCAAGCAATAGCAATAGCAATCAATCAATCAAAAGGCAATCAAGCAAGCGTGTTCGCGAGATTAGGCAATAGCAAGCAATGAAGAATTTTCACGATAAAAAATAAATAAAAAGCACGATCCATTGATTTACAGAAAATCCGTGTTTGAAGAGAGAGCCGG